TAGTTCTAAATAAGTTAACTATTACAGGTGACTTTTGTAAATGTTAGATGTTACATATAGCCTATGTTGCAGCTAAACTACAACAATGCAGTTGGGTCATTCTACAGAAAAGGTGGAAGTACTGTCACTCTCTATAGTTTTAATTTAAAAGATTTTTTGTCAATAAATAAATCTAATTTATATTTACATAACATTACAAGCATTAATATAACACTGAAATGGTAAAAAAAAACGCTAATTATTATTAATAATATCCAATAAATGTCAGTCACCCAAAATTACGTCATTGGTGTTACTGCTACACAAAACGCTTTTATTTTGAAATAATGTACTGTCTCTGAAGTGCCTCCTGTAACAAGAGATCATTTGAGGCAGTGCAGTGGACAAAGACATAAGGAAAGTCAGATACTTCTTACTTTGTTTGTTAAAGGTGTCATTTTATCTTCAAATTTTACGTGCGTCTTTCAATTCTGTCATTAGTGTTACTCATTGCATAGCCCTAGGGGTGAAAATTTGAATGGAAAATGTATTGTATTGAAGAGTTAAACGATTTTGATATTGACTGAAGCCATATTTGGTCTGACACATGGCAGCCATTTTGTTAAAATCGTAGTGTTTTCTCCAAATTGTCACTGGTGTTACCGTCACTGGTGTTACTCTTCTTCTTGGTAACACGTAACACCAGTGACATTCCTATACAAAATAAGCTTTGTATAAAATGTATAAAAATAATAAAAATACTTGAAGCTCTACTTGTTGTGGATTCATCAAGTTAAGAGTTAGTTATTGCTATTTAACATGTTTTAGATTTGTTTAGAAGGAATATATTTCAGCAGATTTGTATCACCCAGATTCCACCTTTTCTGTAGAATGACTCATTTAGCATACCAAGTACATTTACAGCACATTCACATCCTCCTCTCTTACCTCCTAAGGTGGCAAAGAATCCCTCAACGTTGCAGCCGGTGACGCCCAAGATGAAGTACCCATTCAGGGCGGTGTAGAGAGCGACCGTGAAGCCGCCAACCACCATAAAGAGGTCGGCCACGGCCAGGTTGAGCAGGACATAGTTCAGAGGGTTCCTCAGCCTTTTGTTTTTGACGGTGACAAAGAGTGTGAGGAAGTTGATGGGGAAGGCGGTAAAAATGAGGAACAGCATGTACGCAGCCACAATAGAGTACTTCCAGGGCTCAGCCAGGTAGTACTGAGGGTGCTCAAAGGGGCTGCGAACCACCCCAGTCTTGTTAGACATGGGGACATAAAAGTTGGGTCCTTCTGTGCCTTTCATGGCTGCAGATGGGGATGTTCTTCCTTCTCTCCGGGACTTTTACACTATAATAAAATAGTCTGTGTCTCTTGTCAGAATAAAATACTGTGAAGTAGTGCAGCCGTAGTGCAAAGAGGGGAGAAAGGTCGGCTGGAGGGATGGATCCTGTGAGAGGAGGATGTGTTCTGCAGCCCCCTGAGGTGATGCAGCACCTTTTAAGAGGCCGGTGGGATTAGTGACTCTGACTTGCATGGAGCAAAGTATAAGCAGAGAGGGAATTAAGACACTCACCTCAGTCTGTCCCTCTCTCATATTCACATACAGCATTACAAGGGGAGAACTCTAGAAATAGCTATGCAGTATGTGAAGTATTTTCAAGGTGAGAGGTTACAGCAATGGCTATCCAAACCCCATAATTACTGTCAAGTGCATCAATGCATCATCAGAATGAGAGGAGAGAGAGTAGGAGGGAACGAGCCTATTTGTGATTCAAACCGTTCAGAGTGGACAAACTATAAATTACATTTCTTGAGCAATCCAACTTATTTGTATCCCTAAAAGCCTAATCCCCAACCACTGCATAATGCAGGGCCCAACTCATAGCCCTAAGAGTAATCAGAGTCAGTGGCGCATACCGCTCAGAGCATGCACTCTCACTCCACTTCTCTGTTTTTACAGACGGAAAACCTGAAGTTTAATCTAAAAGAGTAAGAAGCAAATATGACCATCTTTGTAACACTGTTAAGAAAACCCAATGTAATAAAAAAGTACCAAATGTTTTTATTGAAAAGGGTTTTTTCCCCCATTGTAACAAAATAAAAATACATTTTCATGACTAAACAGATGTCCCGTACTGATATAAAACACACAGTACAGTATACAAGCTTGTGGAATGCATTTGTGGCATCTGGTATAGATGTTTTCCACTTGGTAGAATTGCGTTTCTTAAATAAACGTTTTTTATAGCAATATTATTTTACACTATGCACACATGCTGCCTCTAAAGTGATGATGTTGTCACTGATAGATCAAGGTAATCTGATCCTTATAATCCGATTGGTTGTTGGTGCACTTTTCCTACACTCTATAATGACCAACACACAAACACTAGAGGTATTACGTCTGTCAGTCATCCTCTGAGGACAAAGGGCTGCTCCTCAAAGGGAGCTTGAGGAACAGCAAACAAAACAGTTCGATTAACTTAAAGATAAAACATACAGTATTTTTATGCAAATTACAGGGACGAATATATTACAATGCAAAACAAAAAAAATTCACAACCCATCTGAAAACCAACTGCATGATAAAAGGGAGAAACATATCAGCTACAGGACATACAAATACAAACGTTTTAAATAGATGCTCTAGTTTTAAAGTCCATCAGTTTGGTTCATCGATGGGTCGGCGACAATAAGGACAGCAGTTGTGCTGAAGCACCAGGAGCTCATAGTCCTCACTGTGGAACATCTACGAGGAAATACAAAGATAGGAACATCACAAAACAGAACAGATCGGACATTAAATGTTATCTGTATGAGGATATGGAAGCCCTGGGAGGCAAGTCAAACAACAGGAACAAGATCATTCTGGTGATCCATTTTCTAATCCTTATCTAAACAGTTTTCTCTGTGGTTCATGGGTTGTGAAAAAAATGTTTTCAAATCTTTGTCCGGTATGGGTGATCTCAATATTCTTTAACTTGAACCCTTTCACAGTGTGTTTTCAGATCATAAATTCTAGCACTTTGGTTGCTTCAAAAATGATAAACTTTTGGTTGTATTTAGCTCCACCTGGTTGCAAAAAACTAAATGGGGACAACCAAACAAATATCACAACAAACTCAAGGCTTTAAAAACTTAGTCCACAAACCAATTGGTCACTGTGACTATGTACTTCCTTCCTGCAGCAGTCAGGCTCTACACAACCACCACGGCCCCTGGTAGACCACCACACAATACAGACTGTTGAAATCATGTGCAATAAACCTGCAATGTGCCATATTGATATAAACGCTTGTTTGCAACTGTACGGTGCTATAATCACTTTATGTGAAACAATACATATCTTCATAAATGTCCCAAAACGTATTTTGAGGTCGCAATACTTTATTTTGCTATTTATGTCACTTAAATTGCTGCTATAATTCTTTTGCCATGGTTGTGTACTTATTTGTCTTTACTGTTATTTTATTACAAATGTCTGCTTTTATTTTTTTATTATTGCATTGCTTCTTTATCTACTATGCCGTTTTTGGTAACACTTTAAATGTCCCCGCTGTGGGACTCATAAAGGAATTTGGATTCTGATGGTAGTGATATGACAAATACAAACACAACAATGTCATGCCTTTGTTAAGCCATTTGCCTCTCATGGCTTCCGTACAAGCAAAATAAACAAAAACAGTGAAGGTTATTAACAGAGAGATCAGTGTTATCCGAGGTTCACACCAGGTCATACTGGCTGTGTGTGTGTTAGAAAGCTGTACCTTGAAGCAGGTGGGGCACATTGTGATGCTCACATCGGGCAGCAGGGAGCGGAAGTATTCCCATTTGAGCGGCCGGGGCCAGCGTTTGATCAGGACGTCCCTCCTGCTCATGGAGCGCAGCACCAAGCGACTCACCTTCACTGGGACAAAGGTCGAGCCCCCCTGCTGTTTAAACACACATGAACACATCCACGTTGTATTATTCACCCTGTTCTTTTACCCTCTCCAGCTGGTTTGCCCAGTTGGTGGATTTTTTAATCTCATCTCGTTTGTCCTTTCCTACCTCAAAGCTCATTTTGGCTGTAAATGGGTCTTCCTCATGATCGTCCAAATCATCCTTCATCTTCAAAGCCTGCATCTCTGATCGGGGTTATTAAGGACACATATAGCAATGCAAACATTTAAACATATATTGTCTGTTATTGTATATTTTTAAGACAGGACAAACCTCTATAAAATTATCCCTCATAGACTATTTCAAACTGAGAGTGTTCAAAAGGCCGATCAGTCGTGGCTGTCAGTCACGTCGTGGCTCTGGAAGAACAGAGCAGACCTCAGTGCCCTTGAGTGTGTGCCGACTAATGCAGGTTAATCCCTGCACTGGGGCTGTGGCTACGGCTCTTGGAGGGTTAGTGTCATTAAAATGAGACAGGAGAGCCTTGCTAACCCTATTAGCTCAAGGGCTAAGATGACTTAGCTCTGACAGCTTACCCACCAGCACAGAATCGAGGCCAAAGAAGACTAAACAGCTTCTTAGAACTGTCACAAGGTGGAGGGGAGTCACATGTTTCATTTCAAAGAGATGTGCAGCATGTAAGGGCAGGGATGCAGCATCACAGGGCCAGCAGACTGAGGAATGAATAATTCATACAAAGAATGTGAATCATCTGTTAGTCCATGTGTATATATCTATTTTTATACATACTGTAGGTTATTAAAGGATACCACCGTTGTCCATATCGTGCCAGCGTGCGTCACTCTGATCCGTGTGAGGGACCTCCAAGTCAATCAGAGAAACTGCCTCTTCATCACTGATGCCCTCCTCCAGGTAGAACTGCACCAGAGGCAACACCTCTGCACACAAAGAGATACGCTGCATTACCACAACAAACACAAAGGGGGTCGTGTCTGGCAAATACCGCACGCCATGTGTTGGTGTGTCACTGACCATATGAGGAGGCTGAGTAGATGAAAGGCTGCCTGCAGTTGATGCACACGCTCCCCTGGTTATTCAGCAGGGGGTTGTTGGTGGAGCAGCGGTAGCACATCATGCCCTCAATAAGGTCCTGCAGTAAACACACGGAAGTTTACACTCAGCAGCACAGGATGGGAGTAACTGCTCTCATGATCAGAGTGGGTTCATGATCAATATTTCACAACACGTTTAATATACCAGCGTGTTTAATCCAACGCACCTCGCTGTCGTGAAAGGGTTTGGAGCGAATGGTGAGGCTGCCCAGTTCTATGGACTCCTGGAAGCGAGAGGGGATGTGCAGCTTCTGGAGTTTCTCGTAGGAATACCTGGCAAGCTTATAAGCCCCCAGCCTTCGACTCTGCTTGGCCAATGCATACAAGGTGTTGCTAATAATAAGGTTAAGGAAATCTTAGGTTAGAGGAACAGCTTGGATGTTGATTTCTGAATATTTGAAATAAGTAGGGGGGCGTGTGGCGCAGTGGGTTGGTGCGCGGATCTTCGAATCAGAGGATAGCAAGTTCGAGTCCCACTGCAGTCAGCATGTCGTTGTGCCCCTGAGCAAGACACTTCACCCCAAATTACTCCTGTGGGGATTGTCCACAGTATTGAGTATGTAAATTGCTTTGGATAAAAGCGTCTAACAATTAACGTGTAATGTAATAGTTGTGGAAACATTGAGACCGGTGTGCGTTTATAAATAGACTGCACTGTGTATTCCCATATTTCTCAAATGTAATGAGCAGAAGTAGAGCCCTGCTGAGCCGGCAACATTGGCTGAATGCCAAGTTAGAAGCAATACCTTGGGTAGGTGGGTTTGCGTGTGAGCTTACACAAGCGTGACTGTTTAGAGTTGAGGAAACTGTTGGTTATTTGTATTTATAGGGAGAGACAGAGCTGTTCTCTTAACCATCGGAGCGTGGCAACGACAGGTCAATGAGTTGCAGCTGCAAAAGCTCCGCGCTGGCGCTCCTCCACCACCTCAAACTTAACACCACTCCTCTCCTTTCCTCTCCACTGAGCTACTCTCCAGCTCCACCCACACACCCAGATCTGTTCCATGCTGGGGCTGTTGATAAATGAACGTCCTCCTATTGTGAAACTTGTTTAGTGCAGCTCTTTCTGTGACATTGTGTTTAATTGTTCTAACCAGTCCAACGCATCCTGGCTGAGTCTATAAATCTAAGTTCAACCTTTTCAGAACACCTCAGTTTCTCCTCAGGATCCCAGCTGCTCAGCCTGGTTTCCTTCCTCACACTCTGACTTCACTGTGTGTGTCTACATGGATTAGTGTGTCTGTATGATTTCAAATTAATGTACATTGTTTAATGTGTTTATATATAT